ACAAAATTATATTCACAGGTTCTAGGTGCTGGAAAACTAGGGTTTTGGTTTTCTAGAAAACTCTATTATGGGGAATCTAGTGATGATTTTTAGTATCTCAAATCCTTGTTGAAAACAATTTTTCCTATTCAGGTCACTATCTGAATTGTTTTTAGCGCTTATGGCTGCGAAAAAAAAAACCCAATTGCTCAATTTTTGTAACCACTGTGGTTTTTCAGCACCTAGAACCTGCGAATAAAATTTTATTTGAACTACGTAGAATAATAGAGCAAACAATTCTCTACAAAATGAAATGTACTCGAGCTCTCTACGATGTTTTTTGGTCGAACTATATCAAATTTACGAAAAGTCCAAAATAGGACTTTTTCAAGTCATTCCCCCTCCAATGGTCACTGGAGTGACCAAACTACTCTGCACAAAAGAGAGTGCGCCTGATCAATCTGTCCATACTATTGCCATATTGGAGTCACCAATACTCTATTCCAGTAGTTATTTGATCAGTGGATCCTCTGGAATCCTGTGGAGGGTAAAGAGTTGAGATATCGATTTTTAAAGCGTTTTTTCTAAACGTTTCTGATGATTGAAAGATGCTCTCATGTGTGGGTTTTCGAATGGTGAAAACCGCATAGTTTCATCTTCTTTCATTTTCTAGTTGTTCGAAATATAGCATCGATCTTTTAATTTGAAATGGATAAAACAACAAAAATCTACAAAAGTATAAGTATTTCGCATCAACATCGAATAGCAAATAACACAGGCCACATCAGTAGCATCATTATTGAATTCAAGATAGAAAATAACCTATAAAAACAAATTTTTATGGTATTTTTGTTGAAAAATCGTCACAGAAATTGGAAGTGAAAAAACGCAAAAAATGGGAAATTTCACTAAAAATTCAATATCTCGCGTTCCTCTTGGAAGTCCAAAGTTTTTCTTTTGCCATTTTATCACCCCACCGTTCCACTATCTACCTTAAAAGTCTGAACCTCACTGAGCTGATTACGGCCGAGACAATGAATGGTGAAGTAGTAGCAGTAGGGCCATCTATAACTTGATAATAAAACGATCTCTGGAGTCCGGCACTGTTTTCTAGCCTCATTCAAGTTGTATCTGTACTGAAATTTTTGTGTCTCTAAGCCAAGCCGTTAGAAAACAACACACTCGACATTAAACGCTAATTGATTCTAATTTACCACTAAAAAAATACCGATTTTTCTTAAAAATTGAATATCTCAGTAACAACCTTCAATTTTCTAACTAGCAAATGTAGATGATACTTACAAACAAAAAAGAACTCTAAAAAATAGGAAACTCTAGTGATTAGTTTCAGCGTATCAAAAACGGATGTTCATCTAGGCAACTTTGCCACTGACATTTTCGCCACCCATATTTAACGCGGGTGTTGCCTTTTAATTTTATCGACTTTTTAAAAGAAAAGATCCGGTCCAGTATGGATATTCAAATCGTGGTCTGGTTCGTGAGCCCTCATCGGTTTCCCCTGTCCGTAACAATCTCTGGCTCGTAGAGAGATCAACTTTATACTTCATCGTGATGTTCTAAAACAAAATATCGCATGAGTTTTTTCCAAAATTTCGTTAAAAAACATTGGTAAGCGCAGAAACAAAACGTGTGTGATTAGAGTTCAGGGTTGTAGAAGTCACATCACAGTTATTATACTATTTTCTTGTCTTTATATCTTGCGAATAGAAGAACGCCAGATCAAAGTACGTCGCACTCTTGTTGCTATATTTTCTCACCCAAAAGCCGTAGAGTGCTCTGACATGTCTCGTCTTGTAAAACACGCTTTTCTTCACAAAGCAGAACAATTGTGAGCCTGGGGCGTTCTTCTGTTCGAAAGATATAAAGACAAGAAAATAATGGAAAAAAATGTTGAAATCAAATTTTTTGGGCGAGTTAAGTGGAATGGCCGTAATATTCTTATACTGCGACATGATCCCTGTCGTGAGATATATGTATAAAGTATTGTTTTTTGAAAGCTCAATCTATTCGATAGAAAAATAACTTTTTATTTTATCCTAAAACCGTTCATACATCTTCATGAAAAACTATAAAAATAAAAATATTTTATCACTTATTACATTCTTGCCATTTATGAAAGACAAATGGTTTTAAAAAAACGACCATGTGGTCTTAACTGACTATGAGGTCATCATCGTCCTCTTGTTTCACAACCACTTGAATATAACCTTCATTTCGATTCCATTTTTGTTCTTCACCGTTAAATAGTATACAATATACTATACAACCAAACAGACCAATACCGCCAGACAAATTAAATATCTTTCGCCATGCGGCTATTGTTTGCTATTGAAAAAGATAGCAATAAAATGTAAAGGTAAAATTACTCCTCACAGGAAGAAACAGTGCATATTGCGTTTTTCTGAATAACTTTCGATCAAAGAAAGAAGCAGACTTGCAGTTTTTGCCATTTGAAAGAGGTCTGAGTAGGGTTCCCGAACAGGGGGAGACACTGGCCTCTCCCCCAAAAGTTTTTGAACTTTTCGGTAAAAATTGTTGTTACTTACGAAAAGATGATACCACATGTCTGCATTTGCCTTTGATCAAAAGTTATTCCAAAAATGGCAATGTGAACTGTTTTTTTATGTAAAGTAGTTATAAATCATACTGATACACTTACATTACCATTAGTGATAGCACCAACAACATAGGGACCAACAAAACCGGGAATTGAGGCAAGTGTATTGGTGATGCCAACAAGTGTTCCTAGAAAAAATCGATAAATGAATAGAAAAAAGATTCATTTGTATTTTTCTGTGATGTACCTGCATGATTGGCAGCAATATCTAAGTGAGAAATTTGACAGCCGGCTGAATGAAATCCGATGAAGGCAACGGCACATGTTACACAAATAACAGCGGCAACATGATTACAATTCACGTAACCGATTAAAATTAAAGATGTTGAGGAACCAACACCACCTAAAATTAGCAATGCGTAAAGCTCTAACTATGCTAAAGATTTAATATTTAGATTTTTTGTGTCTACTAAAAGATCTAGGAATTATAAATAACATTTCTTTACCAATAATTGTTTGTAATTTTCTAACATTTGTTGTCGATAAAATATGTCTAGCTCGAATACAATCAGCTAACTGACCAGATATAACGATGACAACCAATATAAATATGTAAGGTATCGCAAACATGACTCCGTTCTTAAAACACGACAAAATCGTTAAAAAACTTTGTTTACTATTCTTCATTGTGTTCAATATACCTTTTGTAAATTAAATTTCAAAATTGTTGCAAAATATGTTGGTAAACTGGTTAGAAGAACATAATAGACAAATTGAATACATGTACTAGCTACGGCAATTGACCAAAATGGAGCTGATGTTAGTATAGCTTTCCAGGGAGTTTTTAACTAAACAAAATTTAGATAGATTAGTGATCTAAAAAGAAACCTGGAATTCTAAACACATACTTTGACCGGTTTTGGTAAACAATTTGTTAAAAAAATTCTTTCTTTGACTGATATTCTCGGATGTTGATTAGGATTATTATAAACAAAATAACACCACCCAGCGAACCATATGCATGTTATTATTCCTTAAAACAAAAGATGTATAGTGGAAAAATCTTACTTTAACATTGTAAAACATACCAAAAACATAGAACGCAGAGGGCCATCCACCAAGAAACGAGGATGAACATAAAAGGCCAGCCAATGGTGTTGTAACAACATTTCCAAATTCCTTGCCTTAAAAACACTCACCTATTTCCGTATGTTCAAGAGAAAGATATACTATTTACCTGCATGCGCAATTGGTGGAATGATACTCCTTTCTAACGGTGGTACCCATTGTCCCCATAAAGCGGCAGAACTAGGAAAAGCTGGTCCCTGTGGAGACAAAAACGACGAGTAGACTACGTTTGACAGACAGCAATGATTGGCACTAACCTCAAAAACACCGATTAGTACTCGTACAACTATTAAGAAGCCAACATGGGTTTTAGCCGCAATTGGTATCAACATTGTTAAAAGCCCAGCACCGAGAATGCCACAACCAAATATCCATTTACCACCAAAACGTTCAGATAAATAGCCTGTGTATATGAATATGATGTAAATTTAAAAGATTGACTACAAGAGAAAGAATCTTATATATGTACCTCCTATCAACTGTGTTAAAACGTAACCATAAAAGAAAGCGCCGAGCACAAAACCTTGTGTGTGAGGATTCCAATCAAAATCATGCTAAAACGATTATTGCCTTACAAGTGAATTATCGCATTTTTCATGGCTGCGACTCTGATGTCTAACCTTTACTGTTTCATTCGTCTTGCTTGTGTTAATTTTGCATTCATCAATCGTTTCATTTACATTTTGTGGTGTAACCATGGCAACAATAGCCACACTGAGATTGACACGAAGCATGTATAAACAGACGAATCCTAAAAATGTCCATATTGCAATAACTAAAATATAAGTAACAATAGTAGTAATATAGTAAGAATTTAGGATCTTTCTTACCGTATCTTGCTTGTATATATCTACAGCATTTTGAGCCTGTAAATACATATTAAAAAATTAGTTTGGAGCTAAGTATGATAGTTCACTGGATTTCTACCATTAAATTTTTCATCTTCATCATCGTCATGGTAACCAAGCAACGGTTTTGTTGTTGTTACTGTATCAGACTCATCTAGGAGTGCAGATGTACTTGTACGATGCATCTAGAATGTAGATTACTTCATCTGTGTAATTTCACGTTCAAATCTCTACTATCATATTGTTCACCTGCTACCCTAACGGGAAACAACTCTCAGTTTTAGCTTTCTGTTATATTAAACATGTATCTAACTAAAAGACACTTCTTAGTCATAGAGAACAATGACATTTAATGATATCAGTTGTTTACCCAGCGTAAAGTGAAAGATTTACGTTCACTACGTATAAACACAGATATAATCATCTTTATAATAATATTTTTTATATTCAATCCTTTACTAATCTAATATCTGCTCGAATAAATCAAATTTTGCTGAGTCCAACCAAATTAGGAAGACCTTCCCTCATTATGGCTTCATCATCGAAACACTTTAACTATTATTTTTTAATATCATTTCTCCTTCTTGGATTATAGCTTAAATACTAAAAAACTCCTTGAAACTTAGGATTTTCAATTTTAAAAATCTTATAACTTGAAAACGAAAGGCGATAGAAAGATATCGCCGAAACATTGTCTTCTACTTGTGTGAATGTTCAAGTGCTATTGTACGAAGCCAGCTTAGGTTTCTTAGTAGTGTTAGATCAAGATAACTAATGCTATTAAAGAATCACGTTGCACTCAGAGCTGGGCAACTCAACTCCGGAGTTGAATATTTTTTTTGCGGAGTTGGAGTTGGCTTTTTAAGCGACCGGAGTCCAATCCCACGGCCGCGATTCGATGTACTAAACGATATTCAAAAGGAACTACTAAACTATCTTAACGAAGATAGTGGAAATAGTTTTCTTCTTTTTAATTAAGCCGTAGCATATCCACTTTTGAGTAAACTAGCTCAAAAAGTCCTATGTGTTCTGGCTACATCAGCTGCCGTGGAGCGTGTTTTTTCACAATCAGGTTTCTTGTTTCAAGCACATTGTACAGGGTGCGTAAAAATGTTTTTCCAGGGGGGTAACGCTATAATTGCGAATAGGGTAAGTAATGAATTTTATACCAGATGAAAGCCCGTCGAAAACGGGATTTATTGATGCTAAATAGTA